TTTTTTTCTAATCATACTCCGTGCTATGGTGAAAGAGTTGTCGATTAATCTCAATGAATGATTGTTTTGAAATGAAGTGTTTCTTCAACCTGCTGACACTTGGTCCGTGCGTTTTGTTTCCGCAAGATGTAGACGTCTTAAGAACACTGATCGAATATCCCCTATTTTAACGCCATATGAAATTGGGTAGGAAAGAAGCATTTACGAGATTAATTTACACATCCGTTCTTTGTTGAAGGGGCCATCAAAAACGGTATCCTCTATCGTGGTCTCAATAACTTCATGTATTGCACTCGTTAACTTAAGGAATTCCTCCAGTCCCTCTTTGCTGTGTGCGTGTATCTAATCGATCATTCGGGAACTAAGACTATCTTCAAATGAGGCATGTTGGCATTCGTCAAAATTGAGGGCAAACGCGATGCCACAGTCAAACCTCGTGTTTGTTCATACCTTTTGCCAGTATGAGTACATTCTATTAATTACCAAAGTTTACACACATATGATTAACCAGTTACTTCGCTATTTACCTATTGTGATATCAGGATGCTTATCTTTTGTTTACTCTAAGGCCTTTGGTCCGCTTACCGGAATATTAGTGGATCTCCATACCGCGTCAATACTTATCAAAAATCTCCCTATTCTATCAACTCTTCACTAAATACCCTAGCAAAATCACAACAATTTTTTGTTTAAAAGTGCCAATATTTTGTTATTTTCTTTAAATTACCACAAACCATCGTCGTGGATTTTGGGCAGACAATATTCATTAAGTGGTCCAGCATATCGACGAAAAAACGGGCTCATCTTCCACGTATCCGGTTCTCCTTTTCTAACCTTTGTAGGCAATCTCTGAGTATCGTCTTTCAGCATTCATTACGTTCCTTATCTATGCCTCTATGTGTTTCAAAATGATTAAAAGACTACGTCATTTTACCACTATCCTCCTTCAGTCATTAATACAACCGCTACTACTCTAATCAGACTTAAGTACTTCTGACGATTATCCGTAAATTGAAAGTGTAATTGTTTCATTGTGGAAAAATTCCCCCATCACTTCTTTAGCCTGCATATGCGAGCTGATTTGACTCAAGGTCCTGATTCTTCTTTTCATGCCCTCTTATCTGTTTACTCATTCTGTCCAAGTTTACTCATGATGCTTATTAACTTTCCTGTTCTTACATCCCACCTCTACACGCCTTTAATTTTTCACGTTAACCTGTAACTTAATATCTTCCTTCTTGACTCCTCTGGGGGCCGATTAGTGAAAATTATGATCTCTATCATTCTTTACTCCATAGGATTTTTGCTATTAGGACAGCTCAAGCTTTAAGTCTTTTGACACAGCTTTTGCATTAGCAACGTTCAAAGTTCTACTCAACGCTTTTAGCGTTTTTTGGTCTACTCTTCTTTGTTCGTTAAGATGTCTTTTGCTTACTTTCTTCTGGTTTAATCTAATGCCCTAATTCATAACTTTCCGGTCATGACTGTATTTTACCTGATGCTATACTTTGTCATATAATGACCGATATTTCGTTTAAGTTTAACGGAATTGATGAAAATGAATTGGAACATGTGCCACTTGAGGCCTGGTCCAATGACATGTCCGAGTTCTCCATCCCCGTCGAAAGGTCGCTTCAGAACAGCCAACCGAACAGCCGCCACACAGCTGCATTTGCCCGTGTGAATCTGTGTGAATTTGCCTCCTTGTTTTAATATGTATGTATGATTGCATTTACGTAGGTGCATATGAGCGGAGGGTCATTAGTTGATATGGTCAACCCATTTCTGGACATTGTACTGTGAACCTTTGTTTGTTTTGCCTTTTGTCTTATACAGACAGACCTCGAGTCGCGACGATGTGAGAACCGAGTTGGTGCGGTTTGTTGTGTGGTGGGCATGTTGGAAGCCCCCGCTGCCGCATCAGCAACCCCTTAGCCTCCTGCATTGTGTCATGAGGGTACTAATTTTCCCTCACCCTTCCTCTGGCCTGTGGGGAAAGTCGAACTGTTTGGTTGTCGCGCTCATTCGGTCAACCCTCTTCACTTCACGCTCTCTTTCGCCGAGCCTGCCTTGCACTCTCCTCTCGACTCCTGCCTCACTTCTACCCCAAACCCTCTTTTCCCCCCTCGCCACACCTACCCAATGTACGACAGGCTCGTGCCGAGCCCATTTTTTTGTCTGGTCCTTTGCAAGATAGCCTCCCTTCTTGCCTGTTCCGGCAACTCGGCGTGGAAGCCAGAGAATTAAGCAGCTCATGATCATCCATTCAGTCAGTTCGTGTGCAGCCCCGACTTCTGCAAGACATCGGTCCCCTGCCCAAGCGCCGGAGGGGCAGTCCGGTTCGGTTATTCAGGCCTCAACAGTGATTAAGCGCAAGTCAGATGTTGCGCTTGCAAGTGTTTAGACGGCATAGGCCTTAATTAACTTGGAATACGTGTTATCCCATACAGACGGACAGACAGGTGAGCAGACAAACTAAGCCTTGCGATAGACACCCCTCTCTTATTAGGAGGAAAATGTAGGTGTTTTTTGACAAAATGTCTGCTTTAGAATGTATTATTTTATCGTCCCAGCTGACGGGCTATTATTCTCTTCCTTTGTTCCCTCTGCCAAGATTCTTCTTTCCTCTCCTCTATTATGCCTAAATTACAAGGTCTGCTACCAACAGGTAAAAAGTGACTTAACCCAGACCACGACTGCTCTTTGCGTCACTTTCTGAAAAGCCTCGATCTCATTCTAAAAGTATACAGAAGTGGAGCCAACTTTACTGCTTGCCTTCTCTGGCAATTGGTAAGGAAGTGATTCTGTGCAGAACTGGAATAGCGAATAGCTCTGCTTGCTTGGGTCTACTGCTGTTGCTGATTTGATGCTACTTGCTGCCCATTTAAGGGCTTATATCATATTTCAACTATTATGTGTGTGGGTATATATATATACATGTGCGTGTGTGTATAAGTACATATGAATGTGTGCCCATTTCAAAACTTTCCGTCTGACTCTTAACCCCAATTCTACCGTCTTGACAAGAGTACAATAGTTAGTTCAGTTAATCTACTTCACTTTCTTGACTTGTCACTTTGATAAGTTGTAACTCTGCCCTAACGAT